GCCAGACTATGAATATAGCGACTATACTACAGCCCAGTTAGCGAAAAAGTACTGTAATTGTATTGGTTTGCGTGGGCGTACTTCGGTTCGCGTGTAAAGGGCCTTACCACTTTTGTTTACAAAAGTGTTTGTGCCGTTATCAAATGTTACGCCTGACATAATGTTCATGTGATTTAGTGGTGCAATTTCCAATTATGGAATCACATGAAAGTTATGTGAAATTCACATGGATATTTTCCACTGGTGTGATTTATTTTATGAGTGTAGACCCAAATTAAAAGGAAAGCAAAGTCGCCCTATATAGATTTTTTACAGGTTGACCCTATGTACCACTTGGGATTCTCAGGATATACTCGGCTAACGAGGTACCTATAGGTATTTAGTTCGCAGATGCTTCGCATAATAGATTGAGTTCTTTCCACCCCAGGATCGATTAAATTTAACTTCTCCGCAGGTCTCTTGGAGCAGACAACCGACCCTAGCTACTAGAGCAAACAGAGAGAGAATATTCAGCTATTAGCTGAGGGCAGTGATGCCACATTTTTCGAATGTAGATCTGTATTTTCATCGCAAAAAATCTTTTTAATCTGTATCTTGCTGACAAAAATCTGTTAAAAAAAATCTGTATAATTTCCGTTTTATGGTCTTAGTGCGGATTTACGTAAATCTCCATTGAGCAAATTCATAGTTCAAAATAGTTCAGTTTGTTCTAAGTTTAGAATCATAAAAAATTACTAAAGTTTCATTGGCGTAGCTAATGGGGGTGACAAGGGGGCCAGGCCTCTTCAGAAATATCTTGCCCCCCCCTCCAGATTGTTTGGTGTTATTTTTGACTCACCGGTATTTTGTCAAGTTCGATGTTACTATTTAACAGAGATTAATAAAATTTGACCATCAACAACATTTTTTTTAAGTCCTTTATGTTGGCCAGTTTTCCTACATTCTGGACTAGAAGAAACCATTTTGAGAATCTATATTATATCGATATTTGATCGATGGTAAAATAAAACGTCTTCAAGCACTGCAAATTGGCCATGACTCCAGGGATTTTTTTTTAACTTCGTAAAACTTCAAGGACTTCTAAAAAGTTCAGGCAACATTGTAGACATTGAGGAAATTTAGTAATAATTATGGGAACATCATAGATCTTCAGAAAAATTCGATGAAAGAAGGAACTTGGAAAAGTTCTGAAAACTGCGTAGAAGTGGAAAATTTGTAGAAGTTAAAGGAACATTATTTTATTTCATGGAAGCTCATTATTTATCAGGAATCTCTTAGGGAACTTTTTTGAAGCCTAGTGGACTTGGAATAGTTGTGGAAATTACGTACAAATTCAAGAAATTTCGTTCGTGAAACTTTGCTAAAAATCATCGCGAAACGTACAAGTGCGGCAAAATTTATAGAATTTCGTAGCATTTTAATGAAGTTTGCTTCCTAAAGAATTTGTCTATTTTAAAAATCTTGAAATCCTACAATCTTGATGTGTTTTGTATCTCTTCTACAGTCTGAAAATACAAAACATCAAGAACCAGTTATGAGAGACAAATCTGTTTTCGGCTGAAAATTTCCGTAATGAATTAACCAAGGGAAATGTCGGCTTCGGCAATACCTTAACGTATTATCGTCAGCGGGGTAAACAAAGTCCTAGAGCACTCAAATTTGGCCAATAGATGCTCTAAAACACAATGTATCCACATGCCAAAATCAAGCTCTCAAGGACCTTGTTTACCCCCCTGACGAGGTTAAGGTATTGCTGAAGCAAACATTTCCCCTATCAAAAATCCATAGAATTTGATTTTTTTTGTCTGAGATTACGAAAACCTTTATCTGGACATTGGACATAACACAGAACTTTTACTGGACGTTTAGTCGAATGGCATGCAATAATCTTTATTTCTATAAGTATGCTTTTCAAATATAAAAATATCAAGTTGACTCTTCGACTCACAAACTTTAATCAACCCCTTTGTTGGTTTTCTAAAATGGCTTGTTTATCGATTTGACGAAAAATATATTTAATTAACCTTCATATCTGTAGCCATGTGATATGATTAATTAAACAAATAGAAAGGGAAACTAAAATCCCTTATAACGAGAAATCAGAACATCTGAACATCAGAAGTCCATTCGAAAGATTCCAAGGCAATTCGCAGCTAAAATAATAATACTCATTTAGTGAAAAATCGATTTGGATTTGATGATCAGATTGAATTCAAGTTGCTTAGAAGGGAAAAAATGATTATTTATCGTAAATAATAAATATAAAAAAAATATATGTAATTTATTTATGCATTTATTTGACAAATCTGTCTATTTTTCAAAAATCTGTAATCTGCATATATCTGTATCAAAATATTGAAAAAAAATCTGTATCATTACAGATAAATCTGTATATGTGGCATCACTGGCTGAGGGATGATCCAGCTTGCGGCTTAAAATCTCTATAATAAACACACACACAACATAGACTTCTCTGACGTTTGTGAAATGCACAAGTATTAGTGCAGAACTTGGTGTAAATTATAAGTTTAGTGCAAGAAAACCTTTGTGTTTACCCAAAGTTCTGCACTAATACTTCCGGAGAACTTTGAGATTTGGGCGTAATTGCTTTTGTAAACAAACACGTCAATCGCTGATTTCTCGCGAATAAAAGCACAATATCGATATCAAATGATAGAGGAATCATTCATCTACCTGTTTATGTTGTTAGTTTTTTAGATTGAGCTTTAATTCGCGAGAAATCGTCAAATGAAGCCTTTGTTTACAAAAGCAATTACGTCCTAATCTCGAAGTTCTCTGGACTTGTGCAGCTTGAGCTTGATTGACCGCCCACGGTTGCTACTCTGTTATTGCCAGATCAGCTGTAATTACACAGAGAACCAATAGACGATGCTTGGGACTAGCAATCATCATCAATGTGTAAAAACTGGTGATCTTAAATTAGGCAATACCAGCGCCGGCCGCGCCCGAACACAGGTCAAGAAAGGAATGGGAAGGATTGTGTTGACATGACACTCGCTTTGATGACGAAGTTCTCTGGACTTGTGCAATTCATAAACGTCAGAGAAGTCTGTCTATTGCTTAGAAAAGGTTACAAGAAACCCTGAGCTAGAAGAGCTCTGTACATGTCAAACAAATATCTTAAAATTGGCAGTTTGTTCACCACAGTAGTTATTTGATTCAAAGGCAAAACGAAACCAACATCCGGGAGACCTTAAACTTGAAACCAAACTGAACGTAATGGAGTAGGTAGAAAAGAAACCGTCTAACAAATGCTACCTCCTGCTGCAGAGCACCCGTTTTGAGATTGATGATACCCTAAATAACTGTCCATAGTCGCTAATCAGCTTCAAACTGGAGAACATAGAACAGCAACACTATTAACCAGTGTGACTTCTAGGAAAGGTAAAATTACTTTTAAAAGAATATGAAGTTCGGGAAATTTCCAGTGAGAGTTTGAAGGGATGTTACAAAAAGTGCAGAGCACATCTATTAATAGTAATTCAGAGAGGAAGTTCTGGGATTCAAAAGACATTTTAAGAAAATATTCGAACATCAAAAGTCAAGAAACCGTCTTTTTGGCTAATGAAATTGGATGATGTTACAACTAAAAGCCTAATTACTATCATCAACTTTTTTAATAAAAAACGCCGTTTGCGATTATGAACAGTCTAGCATACCCAATGCTTAACTCCCGTAATACAGTAATGTTAATGGTTATACCGCTTACTTATCTAAACAAAATCTATAACATATGTACACAGTTTGTATTCAGGTATCATCAATCGTCCTCTCGCGAAACTAAAAAAAAAAGCGCTATCGCTTGTAGATGATAACCGGGAACCGAAACGGTGAATAGGTTAACTACAACTAATAAACAAAACAAATAAATAATAGATAAAGACGGATAGCTCAGGATAGACAATAACTAAAACAATATCCTTTTATCATCTACCAATAGACAGCAGAGAGGAGCTCATCATCTTGTTTGTACTTACTTCCGGATGTTGGAAAACCCGAACATATCCTCCGAGAACATCGCCTCCGCATCAATGATCACACTGTTGTCTGCGTGAAAACCTCCGTCCAGCAGCGAAATCAAATCTTCCGCCACGTAATTATCACTGCCCTCCTCCGTGTCGTCACCGCCTTCGTCGTCACGTGAGAGTAAATTATTGACCGCTAGGTTTACGTCAAGATTGGTACGTTGCAGTTCTCTGATGATCAAATTTCGACTTTTGCCTTGCAGCACGACCTGTGCTTGCGTCACCAATTCCTCCGGAACGAAGGGAGCCGGCACCGATACCAGCGATCGACTGCCGGAGGATCCTCCTCCCATAATCACACCGGTACTGCGCGAACCGGATCCCTGTGAACTGCTGCCACCGCGAACCGAACTGCTGGTGCGCATGATTCGAGCCCGCGAGCGACACTGTCTCGAGGCGGGTGAATTTTTCGAGTTGTTGTTCGACTGACTGGCCGCACTGCCAGCATTGCCACTGGTCTTGTTTGCGTCCTGTTTGCTCAGATCCAACCGCTCCGGAATGATCGAGAAAGCTACGCGAAACGCACGACCATCTTCGAGCAGGACGCCCAGATGGGCCGGTCCGACCACAATTTGTTTGACTGGAACTTTGAGCGACTGGAGCGCCGGGAGTGTTTGGACACCGTACTTGTTGATTTTGTCCGCCACCTCACGGATTCTGTCGGAAGAAAAGGAAATGAAATTAGAACGCTTGATACTGTTGGCCCTTATTACCGATGTCACTTCACGGAGAAGTGATTCCCATTTGATTTACACGGCAATCACTTCACCGTGAATGACAACTGGTCACTTCACTTCGTTTTCACCATGAAGTGACACCCGTAATAAATGTCATTATAAAGATGTAGGGAGTAAAATTTATTTGGCAAACGGACAAAGCAGCAGAACCAGAAACAGCACAACCTAAGACTCTTAGCATAAAAATGAAAAACCAAAATTTTCGCTTAATTTCGTTTTAACTTTTATTGTCATCAAAAACCAACTTTTCCTCCCACCGTTCCTGCATGACTTCATCGATGTTGATCCGATCGATCGGATCCGGTTCGAGCAAGTAGCGCACCATCTGTATCGCATCCAATGAAATGGCTTTTTCCACTTGGGGCCGGAAGGTAAACTGCCTCGCCAGTTGACATTTGATCAGCTTTTTCAGGTTCTTCTCATCGAACGGCATCGTCCCGTTGAGCATGATGAACAGCACCACTCCCAGAGACCAGAGATCCGCCGATTTTGGGATGTACGCTTTCCCACTGACGATCTCCGGTGCTGCATACGCGGCTGATCCCCAGAAAGTCTTTGACATCAAGGCCACCCCGGTTTCATCGATGCAGGTGCGAGCGAATCCAAAGTCCGACAGCTTGATGTTCATGTTCTTCGAAATGAGCACGTTCTCACATTTGAGATCCCGGTGGGCAATATTCAACCGATGGAGGTACCGGATGGCATCTGCCATTTGGTAGAACCAGAAGCGACTTCGCTCTTCCGAAAGGGCGCCATATTTCCGGATGAAGCTCAGCAAGTCTCCTCGCTCGGCAAGTCGCATGAAAATGAACACCCGGCATCCTCTTCGCAGGATGCTGTGTGTCTGGATGATGTTGGGATGATCGATCCGTTCAAGGATTTGCAATTCCCTCGGTAGAAACTTCTTTAGAAAATCTTCATCCTTCGATTTGCTCTCATCGATGATTTTGCAGGCCAGTTCCAACGGAGTCTGCGAGCCATCGTTGTCTTGTTTTGGATCGTAGAACTTTGCTCGCATTACCGTTGCAAAGGTCCCCTTTGCAATGCGACGCCCCAGGAGGTAACCGCGCGATTTCAATGCGTGATGATCGGGAATCTTCTCGACCAGTTGTTGCCGCACGGCCAGTAGGGATGATCTTCGTAGTGGCTGCAGCAAACCCTCGGCATGGCATTTTTGAACGGTGGACATTTCGTTGTCTTCAGTTGATTTGCGGTAATTTTATTGGAAAGTTTTTCAAATTTTCTCCCGTAAATTTGATATTTTTATGCAGTGGTAAACGTGATTTCCAAGATAAACCGGGTCGATCGAACCGAATGGGACTGAAAGAGGACAAAAACGCGATCCGTATCCGAACAGTTTCTCAAACAGAATTGACAAATCGAATGAAAATTTCAAGTCATGGATAACTGCGATGGATAGATCCGAAGACAAACGAACAAGTGCGAGCCCGAATAAAAACGAGATGATCTAAAATCGCCTTCAAGGCAGCCAAACTTTTGAGCTCGTTCTGGAAGTCTTTTGAACTTTTCTTGAGAGTCTTCTTCATTCAAGTGTTCTTTATACCAGTTTTTTTTTGTGTAATCTTCCTTGGTTCTTAACGACTCTACCAGCGATTGTTTGGAAGCACGCTCAGCGGAGTATCGATTAACAGGCACAGCAGGAATATCGAATACGGATTTCTGAATAAACTGTCGCTATTGGTAAAGGCGACGATGGATCGAGTTATGTGTGAAGAGCGGAAATACATACGAGTGACACAAGCTTCAGGAAGTCCGGCCAGCTTCTTGGCTTCACCTTTGACATCGACATTATGGCAGAGAAATTTGGGACGATGGGGGAAACGTACACCAATCTGAAGCTAAGCAGATTTTACTTGTGTGTAATTGCCGATAATGACACCCGCAGAGAAATTCGTAGACGCATTGTGACAATGAATCGTATTTACTTTGGACCCCAAAAGACGCTCCAGTCGAATGAAGTCTACTACGCTACTTACACTCAAAGAAAATCAATTATTTTGTTCATAAGAATAGACTTATACTTCTCATTACCTTATACTAAATGTTATTCATTATTTCACTCACATTAAATTCATGCAGGCACACATAGTAACCAAGAGATATTTTATTGAAAAGAATTAATCATATGTTATGACCAAAAACTATAAATATTCACTTATACTTTTTACATAGCACTGCTTTGAAAAATAACAGTTGTTTTTGACTGAATCGGAAAAGGATGTCAACTACGTGAGTAGAAAATTTACAGCTTATATAATAATCATCATTCCATTAATAGTTTTAAAATCATCAACGCGAGATACTCGGTACGACAGGTGCTCTCGGTATGCAGAAGGATCAACGGCATGAGGACAATTTCGGATCCCAATCATAAAGCAGTGTGAAATTCATCTTCAGTTGCACACTATACTTTCCAGATCAATGCTCGAAAGCTCGGTGCTGTAAATAATTCGGGTTCCAGTATGCACGATGCACGATGCACGCGATGATGCATGAAGTTTTATACCACTCATATATCTATCATTATTCATAAAAAAAATCTATTCACACTAATTCGTTTTTTTTTTTGCTTTTTTCTAATGAAATATAAAAGTAAACAATATTGAAAAAGGACTTCATCAATACTATATCGAATTCAATGATTCTTATGTTTCAAAGTTCATAAAAAGTATAAGTCAGCCTTATACTTTTCATTCAAGCACGATTCATTGCATCCATAAGACTTATACATATGTTTAATTACTTATCCTTATACTTTTTATGAGCGGATGGCAATGGCAAAAATCTATGTGGTTTGCTTAATACATTCAATATGAATAATTCTTTTCGTGTAGACTGGTGATCCTCTAGGGAGGAGGTGCGACGCGAACACTGGCGCGGTAATCATAATACGACGAAAGAGGAAATGCTTACCCAAGAGCGGCTGAACACTGTCCTAGTGCCAGCGTGGGACTCTAAGCAAAGCTGTACACAATGGTTCCACGGTAAGACAGGTTAGGGCAGTTCCAACAAGCCGCCCTGGACAAATTAAAAAGTTTTAAATAACGAAAAAGTAGGACTAAGATTGGAAATTCGGAACATGAAACTGCCCGGATTACGACAGGTTAATATAGGATGAACTTCAACAACGTCGTAGGACCGCAAGAACGTTGTTGGATGGGGCAAAAGGTATGGAAAAGGAGGCTAATGAAGCACGAACTGGGAGAACCAGTCATCGTCCACACCGCAAAAATCTGTAAGTTTCTTCCAATCTACGTTAGGAAGTTTCTTCCGTCTTCTCCAGGAAGTTCAATTTAACTTCTACCGGATCCTCTCAGCAATTTCTTTTGTCTTCGTCTGGAAGTTTCTGTATAAGCCATTCTCCGTATGTTTTTTTGCAGACTACTATTGGAAGGTTTTTCCGAGCTTCCTCTGGCTTCCTCTGGAAATGGCTACTCCTAGAATTTTCTTCCGATTTCCGAAACTTTTCTGGCTTTCTCTGGATGTGTTATCCAATTTTTTTTTTCGAAAGTTGCTTTAAGTTTTCGGCACATGAATCTCAATATTTGTCTTGAAATTTCCCCGGATGTTTTTGCGATTTCCTGCAAAAGAGTTTCTTTATTCTTTGTTTGGTTGTTGATTCGGCTTCCTTCAAAAACTAATTGAAAAATTCCCCGGAAATTTCTTCCGATTTCTCCTGAAAAGTAAATTTGCTGTTCTTAGTCCAAAAGTTTGCATTACCGCCTTCAAAAATTGCAAAAATATAAAAATAAATAAGATAGAAAAAAACCGCTAAATACCGCTTTTTTAACATTTGATAACGATAAGCTTGAAGACAATCTGGCAACGCTGCAAATCTCAACCAACATTACAAAAAGGCGGATGAGCTTTTGTAATCAAGTCTTGTAAAGCTCTTTGCTTGCCTTGCCAAATCAACAACACCGTCGGCTAGGAAAAATTCTCTCCTATCCGATAGTGGAATTGGTTTGCGTAGGTGATCTTTTAAAATTACCAAATTATTCTCCAAGCAGTAGGAATTACTGAAATTACCCCAATTTTTTTTACATTCATTTTAATTACTGAGTAATTCAAAATTCACTAATTATTTTAATAATTTGTGGTAATTTTCGATTACCGATCACCTCACAAGCTTGGTAGAAGCCCCTTGCAGTTTCATGACCCCAGATAATTCTCATTTGTGACATATCAAGCTGAACAATGCATTAGGTCCTAAGTTACAATAACAGATTTTCTTCCTCGATTTTCTATCATCAGGGCCATGTTTAAACATTCGCAGCTAATTTCAACACACCGATCGATGAATCAAGCTATTATCTAGCATTGTGTACGCCAAACACAACATGAAACGGTGCTATACCCAAGTTATTAACGAAAGAGAAAGTCGATGAAGAGAATCGATCAATGTTACTTAGGACCTAATGCATTGTTCAGCTTGTTATGTCACGAAAGGGAATTCTCCTAGGTCATTACTGATTTCCTTCACCACCTGAACACCGATCGATGAATCAAGCTATTATCTAGCATTGTGTACGCCAAACACAACATGAAACGGTGCTATACCCAAGTTATTAACGAAAGAGAAAGTCGATGAAGAGAATCGATCAATGTTACTTAGGACCTAATGCATTGTTCAGCTTGTTATGTCACGAAAGGGAATTCTCCTAGGTCATTACTGATTTCCTTCACCACCTGAACAGACTTCCCCAATATCTCAGGCATCCAGTGAACATCAGCATCGATGGCATTTATCGTGTGGTCTTGGGTTTGGTCACGTTTGGTTATCAATTCTGTTGCTAAATTTCCGTGCAAATATTGTTGCTTGCAGAGTTTGAACTTCTTCTTGTTCTTCTTCTTCTTCTTCTTCTTCTTCTTCTTCTTCTTCTTCTTCTTCTTCTTCTTTCCTTTCCTTTATTTAACGTCGGTCTCTGTTCCGCAATCTAATGCCAATCACCGACGGAGATCGATTGCCATCCATTGACGACAATAGAATGTGCAGGAAAGCAGCTTCCACACCTGCGTAGGATATCGCACCCATTCAAACACACATGGGCCGGGACCAACGGTTTTACTTCCCTTCCGAAGGAAGACGTGACCAGAGATTTTTATGCCTCAGAAAAATCCTACCGACCTCGGCTGGGATTGAACCCAGACCCATTGGGGTGAGAAAGCAGTTACGCTTATCACTACACCACCGATGTCGGCAAGTTTGAACTTGAAGCAATCCCAAAAGCAGGTGCTCAAGAAAGTGTCTGTTCACATCAATGAGCTGGATTACCGAGGTGAAGCAATCGGTTAAGTTGTTGTGTGAATAAAATCCCTGTACGATACAAGCAAGTAGTGACGTCACTACTTGCATTTACGTTGATTTTTTGGATTACTAATACAACCATATTTCACGATCTGCTTCACCTCTTTCTGTAGCTCATTGTGTTCACATCACAAAATACACTAAAAATAATATCAGCATAATGCTCGATAATTCTAACATATCCAAGATCATCGATGAATAGTGGATATTATTATTCATTACGAATCGAATTTATTCTGAAAAATCGAAATTATAAAGTAAATTTTATTAAAAACCGTTTTATGAAATGTAGAGCGGATTACTTTCGTCCCCCTCGCTTGATTCACAATATTTCTAATACTGAATATGAAAAAAACATTTTTTATCATTCAAAAATTAATCAATGATTAACATGCCCCCATGATTGGTAAACGTCATGGATAAATACTACACAGTAAACAATGTGAAATGTTCAACTATTGGCAAATTCAAGGGGTATTCAACTCTGCACATCCCTATATGTGCCGATTACTTTATCTGTGCCGAAAGGTAGGTCAAGCGTTGTGCTGAACGTGCCGAAGTGTGACAATCAAGCTATCAGTCTGAGTAACCCATGAGTTTGGCAACCCTGTGCTTATGACTTTTGAGATTGTGTGTTTACATTTTCAAGTCAAGGACGGAAATAAGTAGTGATAATATTCAACGAGCAGGTTGCCGGTCATCCGCCTCAAGGAAGTGGCACTCGAAGATTAGCCCGAGAAGGAGAAGGGCCACTGATGGCAGATGCTGTCCATCCAGGAGAAGACAGTTCTCTACCGTGCGTCATTCTGGCAGACGTTTGCCAAAACCAAGAACCCAACTGGCAAGTGGAACATGAATCTTGTCTGCAATATTGTCATGCTACTCGGGCAATACTACAATCTGAAAAATAGGACGGTAGTAGTAGCAGCAATAGGCCTGCAGTAGCTTCCCAGTGTCAGCAGTCGTGGTAAGGTACAAAAGTCGTCTGGACTACCACGTCCATGGTTTACCCAAATGTCGGTCCAGAATCTCGATACTGGTTGCAGTCGTTTGATGATTACTTCCTCCTTGTATCTGCCTGTTGTTCCAACATATTTTTTTATCGTTGGTGATGCCGGAATCGCATATTAATCTCCCTGAAACTGCTGCCGGTTCCGATTGCGTTCATTAAAACCGCGATTCAGATAGGCTATGTTACCTTAACAATTCTGTTAGCAGCATCTTTCTTAATGTTGCTGTTGCCATAGAGCGTAGAGAGACCTCTACAGTCAATCGAATCCGAGTGCAGTCCATATAATAAACTGTACGACTGACTGATTGTTGAACCATCAATCGTACCAGGGTGTTATGCGGGAGAAGCAGCTGCAATTACAGATACATCTGAAGAATGGTAGGATCGTTTGGCACCGGGGTGTTATCCATACAATTGACTCTCGGTCCGGATCCTATGGCCATCGAGTTAATACTTAATTCTAGTTAATTCTGGCCTATTCTACGGGGCGTGGTGACTCTCACTAGTTCGTTTGGATTTCCCTAAAACTATGGACATCTCTCAAAAGCCGTGTGGACTTTCTCTAGAGGTTCTTCCCCCAGAAGGCATAAGGACAAAGAGAGTCTCGTCAATTATACAATCTCTTATTATGACTGGGGAAAGTTTCGCTGGAAAATGGCACTAAAAAAAATTCCTTTCCCCCTTACTTTGAAGTAAACGAAGAAGTAAACCTTAGCAACGATTGGCAAAATTTCATCCGAAAACAGTGATGCCATTTTATATTATATTTTATGTCATACTTGTCATCGTGTGCCATGACGCCACGATGTGTTTCGGCACAATGTGCAGAGTTGATAACCCCTTGGGCAAATTACCCTATACTATGTGTTCCTCAACTTCACTGATTTCATTAAATCAAAGACAGGCGTCATCGATCAAGATTATTGTCATAGGAACCACATATTTATTTCATTTTATTTGCGGACAATCGTTCCCCAAATTGATCACAATACACCAAAAAATTCCAATTCTCTTTTTCTACGATAAACTTAGAAAATGTCTGTAGGTAGGGGAAACCGAGGGGGACGACTCTATCTACGATGCAGAAAAGATTGTGTTTTGCTGTGGCTAGCTGCACGCACGCTGAGTAGATAGAAGGAAGATTTATGTCGATTTTGAAAATTTCCTACAAAAAGATGAAGCACGATGCAAGTAGATGCGAGAAATGAAAGATGATTTTTCGAAGATTGATTCGCTAGTGTGAGATTTTTTGAGCATCTAGAATTGAGATTTAGATGTGTCGCCCCCTCGGGGGAAACGCTCTTTTAGTTGCGGTACGTTGGAGACCCAGGCTTTGCATTTGGTGAATTTTCACTTAAATTTGACAGATGGAAAATGTTCAACTAAACCTGCTATTGTACCAGACTTATTTCTGACAGACCAGGAATCTATTTTGACATGAACTTCTCGAAAATCGGACGATGTACAACTGAGGGATTTTCGAAAATAATCATTTATTTTCGAAGTATAGAATTTAAGTGAAAATTCACCAAATGGAATTCAGTCTCAATACGCAACTATAGGAACCTAACGCTTCTTATGTACCGCAACTATAGGTGCGTTTTATTTGATGTTTGCCACCAGTTGCATCCAGCTTGGTTTTATTTGAACATTGGAAAAAACGAAGTGTAAAAAAGGGTCGGGTGTTCTTTAGCTTCAGCGAAATTTTAAAACACGAACAATCTGGCCAATGAATTCCAATATCGACAAGTTACGATTCTCAAAACACTTTTGATGGGAGATGAATGGCTTGGTAATCTATTTATCAGGTAGGTTTCTTTCATAATAAACAGGTGCTGAAATTATTTGTGAACAGGTTTTATTGTGTAATAAATTTATTCGTATGGAGCTTATCATTAGGATGGATAGAGCTACTTGCTTGCAACAAATTATCTAGAACTTATCATTCACTTATTTAAAATAAGTTCGCTCCCAACGTCCAGTAGTTTGTCATCATTTCAATATTCGTGCATTTAAAATTTAAAAATATAAAAAGGCAACCGCATTCTTTAAGCCATCAGCAGGAAAAAAACACGACAGTATTCAAACAATCCTTTACTGTGAACCGTAGTGATTTTGTCATCCAATGAAATTTCCGAAAAACAATGGCTTCACAATGTAAACAACCAATACCGTACGCCCAGCTTTGCAGTTGCCTTAACCCTTAGTAAAATAAAATTAAATCGTTTCGCTTCTAAAACTACCCAATCTTATCGTATAAGATTGTTTTAATAAATTATGTGGCGTCGTGTAGCTTATCGAATAAATTGGCGGGATCAACACGACTGAATATATCCTGAAAGAAGAAATATTCGATTAGAAATTATGAAACTACAATATGTTTTCGGTTACACAAATATTAATGAAACAGTTGTAATGATAACAAAAATGTGAAAAAATACAATTTTATAAAAGTTTTAAAACAAGTTCGCCAATCTGATGAGTGCGTAGAACAAACAAATCAATTAGTTTTCGAAACACAAAAAATAGCATCAAACCAATAGTTGGGAAAATTCCCAGGAAAAAAAAGCTCTAGAAGGTGCGCCACAAATGAAGAAAGTATCGCTTTAGATTACCTATCCTAACCACGAACGTTTCGAAAACAATAGGACATCCGGGGTAACAACAACGATCCATCGGGTGGAGATAGGTCACAACAAATATGTACATCGACGACGAGAAGTGTGCGACAACAGAGATGTGCTAAAGTATATGTACGACTCAAACTGCACTCTATTCGGAGGAAGTCATGCTCGGTCCTTCTCTAGCAGTTTGATTGGTTTGTGTGTAGATGAAAATTAAGTTAGCGCACAGTAGTAGTGGGTCTACGTATGGGTTCAGGTGAGGCTTGATCGTTTGATCAAGTCATAAACATGCGGTAGTCATCGCATGCTTTAGTTTATCTCCACTGGCCAGCTGTGAAAAGAGAACAGAACGGTTGGTTAAAATAGATAGAAGAAGTCATTACCTGAGGTGAGATGATCGAAAAAGAAACAAAGCAAAAAAACGACTGCTGTCGTTGCGCAATAGAACTCAAAACGAAGAAAGGTTAAGGCAATCTACAGACCACCACCCGAGCGGTCGACAGTGATCTGCTTCCGCAGTCGTTCCTGTTCGTTGCGGATCTCCTCTTGCTCGGCAACGGCTGCGAAGCGGGAATGCGAGATATTTCCCGACTTGATGGCAGACATCATCTGGAAAATGGATGAGAATGTCAAAGGTACGTTCAATGCCAGGAATGAGTTCGTCGAATTCTACCTGCAGATACTCATCCAACTCAACCTGACCGTTCATGTTGGTGTCGATCTCCCGAAGAATATCATGTAGCTCTTCACCGCTAACTTCAGCATCTCCGTATGCCTAAAAGTGACCACATGAGTTAACCGGTTTAAGAATACCGTTGCCCAAATATGCACAACTTACCCGCATGGCCCGCTTGATATCCGGAATGGAAACATATCCCTTCTTGTCCTTGTCGATCGTATCGAAACGTTTCTTGTACTGATCAACTTCCTCCTTGGACAGGTTGACCGGAACCTTATCCTTCAGTTGACGATTGACCTGTTGTCCCATCTGAGTCTGAAGGAAGTGTTCACAGTCCTTGATTTGCTTCTGAAACACAAAACAACACAATTTCAGTCTCCTCCCACTTATTCATTTATGATCAAAATCTAACTCACCTCTCGCTCCTCCTTAGACCACTTCAGCTCGTCAGCCATTATATCGGCAACATGGGGCAGTGCTTCGCTGGCAGCTTGCACGTTTAAGAACGACAAGCGCAGTCGACGAGCAATCATATCCACACAGGTACAGGCATACTCGCGAACGCCGTAGCGAACTTCAGCATCAATGTATGGGAACTCCGGGTGAAGCTTCTTGCCAATGATTGGCCATCTCTTGCCAGTGAGGGCAGCCATTTTGGCAACAGCAAACGCACGATCACCGTAAGAAATTGCCAAATGCTTCGCCACTTCGACTTCCAGGCCCAAATCCTGCACCAACCGGATGTACATGGTAGGAGTCCATCCTTGGGCTCCCTCAATCCACAGACCATCGGTTACGCATCCACGCTCTGGCTTCAGATTACAAGCCTTAATAGCTGCGTCCATGGTGTGCTCGGCCATGGCACGATACGTGGTCCACTTTCCACCGGCAATAGTGACCATGTTTGAATCACTGACGTGAACAATATGGTTACGTGCCAAAGACTGGGTATCACCCTTGTTGGGATCAGAAACCAACGGTCTGATACCGCTCCATGCCGACAGTACGTCACCACGACGTACATCAACGTCCTTATTCAGGTAGCTCTTGATTTCACTAAGGATGAACTGAATTTCATCCTCACTTGGTGCTGGGCTACGCGTTATATCACACGGAGCATCCGTAGTACCGGCGATCGTACCATTCAACCAGGGCAAGAAGAAGATCACACGGCCATCCGAAGTGTCCGGATCGAGCAAACCCATCTGAGGAGGACTGTAGAATCCAGGCAGCACAATGTGAACACCCGAGCTAGGGCAGCAGATAGACTTCACCGTAGGGTTGTCCATCTTACGGATCGAATCCGTAAACGGACCCGTAGCGTTGATAACGCACTTGGCCTTGACATTCCATTCTTTCTTAGTAATGTTGTCTCGAAGCTTGGCTCCGCAGCACACCTCTTTGCCAGCTTCGTTCTTTTTCTTCAACAGATCCAAGACTTCCACGTGGTTGGTAATAGCAGCCCCGTGTCGGGCAGCTGTCAAGGAAATGGCCAGACACATTCTAGCGTCGTCCTGCTGGCCATCGTAGTACACAATTGCACCGCGAAGCTTATCACCTCTCAACATGGGGAACAACTCCAAAGCGTCTTCTCGTGAAAGATAGTACGAACTCTTCACGTTGCGATCACCAGCGACGAAATCGTACGCCTTGATACCAACCCAAAAGTACGGAATCTGCCACCATCTATGGATAAATTGTACACCTTAGTTAACTTCCTCAAATCACGCATTCAACAGGTGGATAACTCACGTGTACACCGGCAGCATAATTGGCAGCGGTCGTGTCAGATGTGGAGCCGACCTGAGCATGGAAGCTCGTTCATGCAAGGCTTCCTTCACCATCTTGTACTGCTCAATGTCCAGCTGCAATAAAAATCCTAATCAGCACCGTCCTCAAAACTCCACCCTCTATCCTCCTACCCCCAAGATGGCCTTTTGCAGATACCGCACACCACCGTGAATCAGTTTGGTCGATTTGGACGAAGTACCGCTGGCAAAATCATCCGCCTCAACCAGCGCCGTCTTGAGACCACGGGTAACCGCATCCAGGGCGCATCCGGCACCGGTTGCACCACCTCCGATGATCAGTACATCGAACTCTTCGCCGCTCTGCAGAGTCTTGACCTGCTCGCTACGCGACGGAAGGGTACGCTTGCGACGGATTCTCTGCATTTCCTCCATTTGAACCTGAGCCAAAGACAATTGAAAAACACATTTTACAGTGTCAAAGTGCTTAAAGCTGTACACGACCGTGGTTAACCTACATGATGTGGCGAGATGTCACTGCTTTTCAGCGCATAGGTAGACAGGGCGGCACCGATCGCGACACCAGCCGCTGAGACACCGAACTTGCGCAGTCTAGAAGCCATGGTTTAGATCTGAAAAGAGAAGGGAAAAGAACTGTAGATCAGAAGAAAACTGATCTTCGCACAGTGGCTTTTTTAAAACCGAAGACAACAAGTCATGATTTGTTGTCTTCTTCTAAACGCTAATAAAACGTTCTGAATTAAACGGGGTCGAATGGAACAGAAAAAATCCGGACAAATTAAAAACGCTGCCATTAATGGATTGTTTGAGTAAAAAATTTCAAACTTTCACTGAATCAAGCTAAGAGTGTATATAATCACAGTAGGCATTGGTTACAAGGATGATTTCAGTTGTTTACATCCTGCCTTCACCGGAGCAAGCACGCGCCGATGGTGTAGTGGTAAGCGTGACTGCTTTCTCACCCCAATGGGTCTGAGTTCAATCCCAGCTGAGGTCGGTGGGATATTTCTGAGGCTTAAAAATATCTGGTCACGTCTTCCTTCGGAAGGTAAATAAAGCCGTTGGTCCTGGCCCATGTATGTGTATTTGAAGGGGTGTAAAATGTTACCGACTTCGGTAATCAAAACTCTGTGTGTACATCACATGTGGGTTGGCCTCCTCGGAATATCTCGTGATCCTGACTATATAGAAGGTTAACCGGTGGAAACTAACGACTTTAAATTGGCTCACTACTTGACTAGCCTATTGGTCCCAAGCAAATCGATTAATGTTCCCCATTCTAGTCGAAATTCTAGTAATGTTTGTTTTGATTCGCTATGAAAGTTTGACAGATACAATGAGGGGTTAATGGATTTTCCTATGTTTCGAGGGGTGAATCGATTAGCTTGGGACCGAAGATAGTACCAGAGCTGAGCCAAAAAGTTGAGCACGTTTCTTCGGGACCTACTAGTCTTAGAGTTACCTCTATGCTACTAGTCTTAGAGTTACCTCTATGGTTATAGTCTTGGGCAAATTTGTTCAGTAGGACAAGGACTTTTGGTTGGTGGACAGAAGTTCAGATTTGTTTCACTACGCGGCATTAGTATGCAAGTGAATTTCCTGCATATGCTATATCTTGGGATCCAGGCCATATAGAAGAATAAAGTCACAGACAAACAGTCGTAACTCTTTGAATAAGTTTTTCTCGAAAAGATAGTACCTCAAAACATAGGACCTCAGTAACGACATCTCTTGGGTTTCTCGCGGAAATCAAGCTTGCTCGTAAAGTCGCAAACAATATTGCATGCAAGGTAAACAGAATATATAGAAACGTCAAATTGATCCGATGGCAGCGCTGCGGTGAGTATTTCGTGAAAATAATAATTTTCAAATCAATCGTTAAATGCGAGAACGATAATCTAGATTGAAGAGTTACGTCTGTTTGTCTGTGATACAGTCTTCGGGAAATTTGTTCCGTAGATTAAAGACTTTTGATTCGTGGACAGAAGTTCAGAATATGCTCACTAAATGGTGCTAGTGTTTAAGTGAATTTCTTCAATATGCTATATCTTGGGATCCTTGTCATAGAGTAGGTTACATTTTTCGGCAAATTTGTTCAGTAGGTCAAGGACTTTGGTTGGTGGACAGAAGTTCAGAATTTTTCCAGTACGCTGCAAACGAACTACCTGACTATGCTATATCTTGGGATCCACGCCACATACATAGAAGGTTACAGTCTTCGGCATATTTGTTCAGATGGTCAAGTACTTTTTATTGGTGGACAGAAGTTCAGAATTTTCTCACTACGAAGCGCTAGTATGTAAGTAAATTTCCTGAATCGCTATATCTTGGGATCAAGGCCATATAGAAGGTTGCAGTCTTCGGCAAAATTGTTCGGTAGGTCAAGGACTTCTGAATGGTGTGCAGAAGTTCAGAAATGTATCACTACGTGACGCTAGTGTAAAAGTGAATCTGCTTATTTGTTTTGTTCGTTAATTACTTAATAAATCCATTCGTTACAGTAAAAATTTCGTAATTAAAGTACATTAATTGTATTTTCAGTACTATGAATTACATTAACTACAAAAAATAGATGTATTACTCTCAGTACTACTTCAAAATTCATTATTTGCCGTAAGCACATTTTTTATTTTAACTCAGACCTCAGAACCGGTTCATGTGCACCCCTCGAAAATTTCCTTCTAGAACAACTAGGTATCAACGTATCAATCTTTACCTCAGAACTATATGGAAAAGCTACAAAGGTAATAAACGAAAAGATTAGTTTTCCATATAAACTTCGAATTGGTTGTGAGCAGTCAGTTTCTTACCAAATGATTTAAAATTATGAGAGGGATGCGCTTCCCAGACAACCAGAATGCAGGTATATTCAAAGTTGTTTTCGAGATATACAAACGTATATACAGACAAACAATTCGTATAGAATGCAAGGAAATGGCTTATACGTACAAAAGTGGAGGCCATATACGTGCATATTTTAATTAAATTTTAAACGAGTTGGTCTAACATCATATACGATTAAATCTGTAATAACATATTCATTTTGAAAAGTCTTACGATTTAATCCGATTTTATTTGTGATACAGTACGACGGAAAAATGATTCGTCGCATATAAGTCGGAAATTTGCATTCTATACGATTTAACTTAAACATAATGCGAGGTATGCCATTCTTATATGCGATTTTGACTTAAACTGTAGCAATTAACGATACTGTCTGTACATTGTAATACGACTTCTGGTTGTCTGGGTTTGTTCATTGCCTGGAGCAACGATCAATACGGTGTTCGGTTTACCACCGGAGGTGCCATATAGCGATCTAACGGTGGTGGTGGGGAGTTACAGGAAAGTGAAACGCGTCATCCGGGAGAAATTCCCCGTGGAGTTGGCCCTCGACATGTACACGTGGACGTGAAAAATGAAATTCCCTCCGCGCTGCTTTTCTTCAATCGCAAGGGGAATATATGGGAATAAGGATAAATGCTTTCTATGTATGACGGAGGGAAACCAGATGATTTCAGATGAATCGTCCAATAGCACCTCTTTTATGTTGGACCATAAAAACGTCATCCGTCAGCACACAGCTGGCTCACGAAACTGGAAACTGTTCCCAAGAACCAAATACCATTCTCTGGCCAAACGAAGGCTATAATCGCGAAGGAGTTTTCCCTTCTCGGTTTGACCAAGGTGGCCTTGCCACGGTCGGCCGATCGTGCCAACGAAGGAAGACGTCTGCCATCCCACCGCTCAGCAACGCCCACTGGCCCGTCAACCACTCGCTTCGCCAATCCGGCGAGAGTTCCACCCGCACAGTAGGACAGGATTCGCTGTGTCGGCCATCCCGATTCACCAGCAACGGCAGTAGAGGTATGTACCGGTACAAGTGAACGAGGTTAGGCTACACGACACTGTAACCATTGGTGGGTCTGTCTGTCTGAGATTAGTGAGATTGTCGCGATTAGTGTTTCGTATTTTATGTATAACAATACGCCAAGGAAAGGTTTGAATACAAGCTACCAACACCACCCATCGCCCACAAAATCACCCATCCTCTACCTACCACCAGATGGCACTGTTTACTGGATTTGGAGGCCATTAGGAGGTGGCATAATGGGGCCATGATGAGGCGAAATAGGGCGGAAGGACGATGGCTCATCGAGGAGGAGAGAGGATAGGTCAGCCGCCATCGTTGAGAATTATTTTGATTGGCGATACTCAACAGCAATACTTCGTAAAGCTAGTTCAAGCAAGTTCGAAAAGCAGTAAAAAACCGTGAGGACGTGAAAAAAATGAAGAAGGAGAGTGAGGTGCAGAACCATCCAGGACCCCGTAGTTTACCACTGGCAATTCATCCACGGCGTGGTCAGACCCGTAGTGTCCGTCATTCGGCATACGGCGCGGTTAGACACGGAGCATCTTCCGATACGAAGGTATCCCGGAATACAAACCAACGGCCCATCGACCGTTAGACGCCACGAGTATAGTGAGGAGAGAGAGAGAGAGAGATCGAAGAGCCGTCGCGAAAAGTACCGAAGTACGCGACCGGCTTGCGAACCAAGTCGAGGGTTCAAAGGCGAAGGAAAGAAACCGACTGGGCTGTGAAAAGCTCGGTGAAAAGTGCCCAGAAGGAAGCTGAGGAAGGTGAAGGAGTGGCTGTGGAAGGACCAACAGCGGGCCCGCGCTGAAGAATAAGAAGAAACGTTAGGCGAAACGAGGTAGGAGATAGCCAATAAGAAAGTGGGACGAAAGTGGGAACCATAAAGGTACCTATAGCTAAACAAGTGTTGTGTGTGTTGGATATTGCAGTGTTTCCTTGGCCGTGATATTCGAGCGCGCATGCCGACCCTGAGGTAGTGTACAGGGGGGCGTCATTAGTGCTGGGCAGGGAGTACCCCATCTGTTACAACACATATTACACGAAATTATGAACACCGAACAACACGCACACAATGCAGAAAGTGACGAATAAAAGCATTTAAAGAAAAGGGAAAGTTCTTCGTTCTTGTATCGTGAAACTAGCCAACCCTGGGTGTTCCGGAGCTTGCTCTTGTCGTCTGAGTCGACCGGATGCTGTATATTTGATCTCGAGCTGTATGTTGTTTGGAACGAGGATGACGCGCTTGGCATAGATGGCCCACAGCGACTCACGAAGAGCTACTGAATCCGATCAGTAGTGGTGCGGCTTCTTACTCCTTCTTCGGTGAATGGACGCTCATGTGGGCTGCAGCTCGCTGCTTGCGGGCAGCCTTTCGTTGTGTAATGGAGAACAATGTTCAACGCCACGCACCGAAAGCACTGTTTCTGCTGTGCTACTGCTGATAACGACCTACCGGACACCACCACACACGGTGATTGAATAAGGACCGTTCGGCTTCGGCGAGACCGGATGGATTTCGATTTTGAAATCTGTGTTAGGGAAAGCGCTTTTTGCAGGCAATCGGTGATAATTTTGATCACCATTGCAACAGTTTGACATGTGTGTAATTATCAATAGTGACTTATTGAAAATTGATAAAGTGTTCATTTTAGCAGATTCGTAGGAAAATTTCCAATCTAATTGTTTATAATTATTGACAGAGTTATAAGAGGTTAAAACCTGACTACTTTTCGT